TAATTGACGCGCGCGTAGCGTTTTAATAAACAGTTTTTTACTCTTTTCTTCGAGACAGAACATGATTAAATCAAGAATTATCTCTCTCTCGTATAATTTCATTCATTTATTCTTAAAGTATATTACCGAGTGCAGAAGGTTGCATATAAACAGGCGCATTTCGTTTCACATTTAACGTACACAGTATGTTTCATTAACGAGTGTTATACCAGCGAAGAAATATTTATTACGAAAACGCACTCAATTAACTCTTAAAAAATTCAAAAATTCTTTCTTTATTTTATACTTGAAATTTCCGCCTTGTTTCTACACAATTATTGGCATCTGATAAAAATGACTCTGCTGCGAGATCTTGTCGCAAGAACGCAGCATTTAAATTGCACACATAAATGTAAATACGCGTCATGTATCTTGCAGCATCGTCGAGTTCGCGTAATGTGCTAATTATCGCAAATCGCCTCTCTTTCATAATTATTCTCTCCACCTCCCGATTTCGTTTCTTTGCGTTGCTTAAAGCAGCGCAGATAGCAAAATAATGGAAACGCATTTCGATCTTTCAACGCGCGTTTCTACTTTTGCACGCTCGCTAATGCGCGGCCATCATTTATTATTCGAATCGCGTCTTCTATATTTAACCGCGGGGTCGCGAGAGGCCCGTGTTTGTTTCCGCTCGCGCCGCTTCGTTTCCATTCCGGTTTTTCGATTCTTTTTCCGCTTCCTTATATTACTCGCTTACCGTCGGTTCTCATCGCGCTCGTCTTCCGTCATACGCTCTCACATGTCCCACATAGTCATATCTCATATCAACTCAACGCTCACAATGTCGAGAGCACTCCGCGATCCGTACGCGTTTCGTACGCTCGAGCTGCTTTAGCAAATGTGCGATAGTTTACACCAAACAAACGTCAACTTCCTGGACACGTGGATTCGCGAGTCGGAATAGAGAAAAGACAGTGATAAAGAGCTACGTCTATTTTTGCGATTCTCCCTATACCAGTCGTTCAACATTACAGAGCGACCAAAGGAGCACACACAATTTATTAAAATATAAATATATTGTACTAAAAATATAAAAAAAAAAAAATATAATATATTATAAATAGATATATTAAAAATATAATAAATATATTCTTTTTTATGTACTGAACAGTAACAGTTGGATTTAACATGTAGTTTTTAATTTAAAAAGAAAATTGTGGAGAAGATTCAATTACGATGATCGAAATTTGACGAAATTCCGAATTTCTTGTATTTTCTTCTGACCAAAAACGCAGAATGTGCAGTTTACTCAAGAACACGCATTTTGAAACAGTAAACACATAAGCGTTCCGAACTGACACCGATTCAGCTCGCGTCAATCACCATATAAGAGAGAGAGAGAGAGAGAGAGAGAGGCGGAGAGACAGAGAGATAGTTTACTTTGGTGCGTACCAAGTTCCTCGCCACATGCTTGGAGAAGCCGAAGGAACGTAATAGAGTGGAAGGGTGAGTGAACGAGAAGCCGAAGAGAGGCACGAGGGAACGTCACGTTACGTTCCGCCGTCGGAGTGACGTTTCTAATGCGAAACTAAGGAATTAGAACAGTCGCGCGCTGTCTAATGAGATACTAATTGCGCCGCATTCTCGTTGTATTGACTCGACTCGCGGGGGATCAGATAAATATAATTCCCGACCGAGGGAAAGTGAAACATGTCCGTGAGATTTAATCAAATTGCTGAATTCGCGAACCAGGAAGCCGTCCAGAAGGTGCAGCTAAAGCGTGTATTAAAATGTCTGTTAACAGTTTAAATGTCGCAATATATTTAGCAACGAGTTTATTTTTTTTTTATCCAAGTAATTGTAGATTAAAACTTTGGCTGAAATAACAACAAGAAACGTTTCGCATTATATTCAAATCGCAATTTGAAATCACATTAAACGATTACGAGATATTCACGCGAACGGGATAATTGAGAAAAGATAAGGTTCTTAAAACAAAAAGAGCGCGTGGCGAGAATTTATAGGGAGCGAAGTTGTGTGTTTTTTTAAACTTTGCGATTTCCATAAATTAGTCAGCTTTGAGTTGATGTTTTATCTAGATCTTTAGAACGAATCTCTGTGGGTAAATCTCACAAATATCAAAACACAAGAAACACGCGTATACGTGGCAAAATCGCTCTGGGAGGAATATAATTTATAGTAGCGCGCGGGAATAATCACAGTGCGCGCCTTATAACCCCCGAGACGTGCTCAACGAGGCGAGATAATGTCGTGCATTTGAAAATAAGATGGAACAAACCGCGGTGTGTGTACGTGGGATAAATAATATACGGTGGTGAACATGTGAAAACGCACGAAAATGCGCATCGCGTGTTAACGATCTCTCTCTCTCTCTCTCTCACGAAAAGATATGCGTTTTTCAGAAGAAGCCACGTGTGCAAAATTCAGATTTTTATCCGTACTTTTACTCTATTTGACATCGTTTTACACAACAGAAAGAGAAAGTGCACTTATATGTGTGTACAATTTGTTCAAATAATTTTAAGTAATTTCAAAGCGCGATTAAGAAATTCGCACATACTATCGTACTGCTATCTTTTCGATATATCCCGTGTTACGCTTACAGACATTCTATCAACATCGACTTTTCGTCAGCTTAACGCGAGAGACTTATACACGCGGTATCGCGAACGATCGCGAGTGATTGCGCGTTAGCGCTGTATCCGATTACGAGATGTGTATCTTCGCAGACTCGGACTCGGTGCAGTGGGAGCTAACCACTCGTTAAATCGCGCGCGGTGTGTGTATGTGTGTGTGTGTACGCGCGATCCTACGCATTTGCGCGATACAAACTCGCGCGCGCGCGCACACGTGCGCCGAGAAGGCGGGCGGGCAGTTTGCGCGAAACATCGTGCCTCGTGAGAACGTTTACTTTGTCGTGAGAAACGCGCTCGAATATATAAAGGCGTGAAGATGGACAATTACGCGTCGTTTCAGACCCGCCAATTGACACCCGTAATAATTATTCAAGATAAACGTTCTCGAATTCGTTGATTGATGACGTCCGAGTGGCGATAATTTTCTCAACGTTCGTTGCGTTCGCCGCTTCATGTATTTATCTCGAATTAGCTTTCGCAAAGAGGCGAATCGACATTTTCCCTCGGTCGTTTCGAGCCGCACTGAGAAAAAGAAGCGAAAAGCAAGATCGCGGAAACGTGCAAGCCAGCTACTGCGCGCTCGGTGGCTGGCGTGAAACAAGCTACTCGACCAACTACTGAATCTCTCGCGTTCATATTTTCGCTGAAAGACAAGGTATATACATGTAAAACAATATGATCGCCGTGACAATCGATGACTTGCGTGTTAATTCGATCCGCAGGACGTAATAATTAATAATACGGCGCGTCGAACGCGCACATCGTGCTCTCTCTCTCTCTCTCTCTTTTCTCACGATACGATATGAAAGAACAATGTACAAAACGATCGTGCGCGCGCGACAAGCAGTAAATTATTATTTCTTCGGTAACTAACCTCTCGCTCTTTCTCGCGCGCGCGAGAGAGAGAGAGAGGGAGTCCCGGCACTTCGCACGCTTATCTGCGCGATAAGTCAAGCCTCTTGATGTATATCGCTCCAATGGGGACCGATGTAATCGCGATATAACATAATAATAATGACGAATCGATAAAGATCTCATGGTACCGGTCACGCCTACAACACGCAAGACACGATCCCGTGTGGCAATATAGCTCGTGACCGCGCGCTTTGGAGCGCAATGATCCTTTGCCAAGTGACTTTCCTCCCGAGATAACATCGAGGTTACATGAAAACTAAATGGCGAAAGACGCCGAGAGATTATATAGTTCCTGCTTCGCGCCCCGCGTAGGCGCGCTTTACGGATCCCAGTGCGGATCGGTGCTTTCTAAAGCCTCGCAAAGATCCGAAAGTTCAAGCAACGAGTTCTCGTAATAATCGCAGATAGTGCGGGGCGATGTGAGTTTTTTTTTTTTCGAGTATCAGTTTGTGTCATTTAGTAAGGTAAATGACAAATGTTGCAAATTACGCGTTGCGTTATGTACCCTTTAAACGGTTCTCGAGAATGAACGAGACGAGGAAGAGTCGGAGAACGAGAGAGGAAGATCGAGAGGAAATACAAACAATGAGAAGAATAAGATAGAGGTGGGCTCGAACCGGTACTTCCACACCGTGGAGTGTAGGACGTTGCAATGAAGCTATTAATCGTCTCTTTGAGCCATTCGCATTAAGTGTTCGCAAATGTCATTTGCTCGATAGTTTTCAATGCTCGTTATTGCGAGCTTGAGCGCTTCGAAGACACGTGTTTTTACGTGTTTTACGTACGTCGGAGAAATTATGTTGAAAAATGTAGATACACAAGTCGCGTTAGAAGAAACGATAAAACGCGAAAATGCGTGCGTACTTATCTGTTTGAAATCGGGAGATGAGACAAAAATAACGGGCGATAAGGGAAGAAGGACGTACAAAGCCGCGCCTTAATAAGAACGAGTTAACGACCCGTGGAAACGTAAATGCGGTCATGTACACCCGAGCAACGATCGAGTGACCAATCAGTAGTCATTATTTATGGTTATAGATACATCTGCGAATCTAAGAGTTACTTTTGTTACAATCCTAGTCTTTATCCTAGTCTTTAAATGACTCGGAAACTCTTGATATAAGAAGAACGGCGCGATGTAAGCGACGAAAATAAATAATTAAATAATTTTATATAATTGAGGTTCAATAAAATAATGTATTTAAACTTTAGCGCCCGTTCGTAAATATATATAATTACTTCGAATTTCAGACAACGTCTGTTCTCAGTTTTGTGACATCTTTGTTCTGAAACTTTCACGTCGACAATGTGTGCGGTTTATATTGACAGATAGATGTTGCACACAGAATATTTTGAATAGATAAATGTAAACTATATGTTAATTAATGAAGTTGTACCCGGAGGAGGCAGGAGTTTTAATCGGTGTGTTTTTTCTTTTTTGTTCTCAGGACGAAGTAAGTAACGACCCACGGCGGTTACGAGCCGTACTCGAGCTAGACGAGACTAATGACGAAATGGCATCGGGGAACGTGAGCTTTTCTGAAACGAAGCTATTATTACGCTTATTGTGTAAGCTTGCCCGATCGCTGGCACATGTCTGCATTAAATCAATATCACAATGACACGTATGGAAAATGCAGCGAGTTTGCAATCAGATCGATTCATCACATCAACGTAAGACGTCATTAATTTCCCTACTTCCTTTCTCTGCGATTTCTACTGCGATGTTGTTATACGTGCTTCGATTATCCCGTACTTGACGACACGCAGCCTTGAAAGTGACCGCACAATAATTAAACAATAAATATTTTAAGAAATACTGTTTATTTGTTGTTGTTGTTTTTTTTTTTTTTTGAATTCTTGATTGTCTAAAAAACTGCCTTTTTTCCATTTTATTGTCTCGTTGTTCAGTCATAAAATTCTTCATGGAATGCGGAACTTTCAGATGAGAAGAGATCATCCTCGTTAACTCGTAACGTATATCGCTTGTATGAGCTTTTTTTCTCGTCATGTTTCATCCGTCTAGGCCACTGAAATGTTATCGAGCTTTGGTACGCGCGCAGCCCCGAGAACAAGAACGGCTGCCGCAAAATAAAAACCTTGCGACGATAAATAATTCGAAAATGTGGGTTACAAGGTATCTCTTGCTATTCTGCTCGCGATATCATATATATTTGCTCGCGGCGAGCGTAGAAAACGCACATAAAGCGTCTATGCGGAATTCGCGTCCCGGATAACGAGAGCCGAGGTCTCTCCAACGTCGGGGCTTTAAAACTGTCAATCGGGAGCCGCGGGCACGCGGTGAAGGCTCGCGCGACTCGCGAGCAGAAGAGAGCACTCGTCGTAATTCTCGAGAGAGTCGAGAGAATGACTCGGGAGAATCGAGAGGAGACCTGCCCGCTCCTCGGCTCCGTGTCGACACGCTTAGCCTCGTTTGTCCCGAGTAATGGTCGCGGTCATAACTCAGACGACTTCGCTCGCGCGCGGACTCTCGTTTCTGTGCACATCAAGGCACGTACAAGGACAGAAAACGATCGGGGGAGATTCACGGAAAAGACAGGTCGATCGACCGCCTCGAAACGATCTCGCAACTATTTGCACAGGCGGCTGATCGTTCGACGCGATCGTTTGCCAACAAGAACGCGCGTGATCGACCAATCCTTCATGTCTCTTCATTTCGATATTTGTATTTGCTTCGTTCTATCGAAATCGCTGTCATTCAACATTCCTCTTCAACAAGTACTGACCGTATCGAATTAAATTACGATTTAAAAAATGTATATTTTTTTGTAGATGTACAGCAAAGAGAGAAGGAAACGATAAACAGTTCGCGGGGTCAAACGATTGATTATATTTAAACTCGAAAAGAGACTCGGTTCATTACAAAATTGTGTGATATCGTTCGATGTAGTTGCTTTAGAAAGTGTTACGCTTTTGTTACGGCATGACTAAGGTTGTTCTCGGGTTTGCGCGGCTAATCGGTGAAAATTGACCGAAGTGCGTCTTTACCAACCACGTCGAGGCAATAGCCTTAACGACTTAACGACGCGTCCTTTTGCTTCATATCATTCTATTAACTCGCTGCCTTCTAACGAGAATAATAATTATCGGCAATAAATTTCACGACGTTGATTTAACATGGTCCTTTCATTACCGGACAGTAATGTATGTAAACCAGAAATAAATAAGAGAAAGGCTTTTTCCTTGAGAACAATAACTAAAGATATCAAAATTATTATTTTGATATCTTTAGTTATTTTTTTCAAACAATCAAATTCTCTTAACGTCACGCCTAACTAACGCTTGAAAAACTTTCGGGATTACGTTTTTTTAACGTGTACTTACTTATTCATACATCAACTTTTTACACAATCTCTCACGTAATCTTTTCATAAAAAGTTACGTTGCGAAAATGATATTTTTATAACGCAAAAAACCGAATATTTTAATTATCTATAAGCCAGTTACATAAGAGACTGCGAGAAAACGGTGAAAAAAAATTCGCTTTTTATATCAAATGTGTGCGTGCTTTATCAAACCGTCATAATTACTTTATTACTTTTCGCAACGACAGCTTGTCATTAAGAGTCAATAGATGGCTGTTATAATTATCAAGTGACACCGAACGACAGAAACCGGCTTTAGTCGTGAATATTTAAATAGCCGAATGGAGAATAGTTTCTATCCGGACGACTTTGCACATATTGCGCGCAGCTTATCACTTGTGACTTTTTGCCCAGACTCTGTATATATATATATACAGAAATATATATATATATATATATATATATATATATGTATATATTTGCGCTTGAGCAATTTTAGAATGCACATCATTCTTAACTTCCATCGTTGTCGTTCTCGTTGCCGTTTCCCTCCCGGCGACGTTTCGTATCTATCGACGGTGACCGCGTGCAATTAAAAGGAACGTGACGCGCAAGTCGACCGACGCGGACAGGCGGGATCGTTACGGAGGACGATGCAATTCATACTTGTACGACTTACTTCGCCTACGGTCACTTAATTGCGCGCGACCGCATCGTGTCTATCTGAGAGCGAGACTGAAGCCGCGACTAACCAGCACCGGGAGAGACTCCATTGCCGCTGTCTAGGTGCATCGCGTATCAGGCGATTATTGTGACGCGGTTCTTACGGTAAGGTCCGTTTCGACACGCTGTAATTATCGTGTCGCGCGCGTAGAGAAGAAAGGTGTGAAATTTGAGCGAAAGTCGTCCTGCGTTGAGAAATTCATGATTATTATTATTATTATTACTATTATTATTAAATTACGAATGAATTCTGATTATTTTCTCTCGGCTCATATGTTGTTTCGCGCTTTCTAATTTCAGTCGGTTGTCGTTACGATTTTTTTTATACGTTTGGGGAATGAGAGAAGAGTGAGTTTCGCCGACACAAAATATTTAATTTATTTCTATTTAATTTCTCGCACATCAAATTGATCGCAGTTTTTATATAACAGCTCGTTGTTAATAGTTTTCTTCGCGCTGTGTCATTCACAGATAAAATGTCACTTCGAGTAATAACGTGGTGTGTGTACACCCAGCAATGTAATTCGCTCTCCGCACACGATCGTCGGCCATTTGCTTCTCTTTGCGGAATTCAACTAATTTACAGATCATTCTTAACGAATCCTAAACACCATCCTCTCCTTTACGTTCTCGTTTCTGCTAATACGGATATAATTGGAAGCAACGTGACAAGCAAGTCGAGTAGCGGGACTGAAAGAACGATTACAGAACACGTATATCGTCGCAAATTCGTTACGCGAAAGTCGCCCGAAGGAAAAACCTTAGCGGCTAGGTAACGCCTCTAACATCTATTTTAAGACTGAAATAAGAAGAAAGATAAGAATACTAATTTTCTAGAGACGCGAACGCGCCAAAAAAAAATAAACAAGACGTTGTGCAACTTTGTGCATTGTTGATTGTGAATTTTAACGATGTAATTTTTTGATGTAGAAAATTTTTTCTCACATTTTATAATAAAAATATTTGTATGTAAATGAACAAAATCACGCCTATATATTCTCGTTTAAATCCACCAATAGTGTATTGTCGGTGCGTGAAACTAGTCAAGTTTTTATATTTAACAATCTAATAGTTAGCGATGTGATCAGTTCGCCGCGCGATCGCTCGTGTGCACGATTGTGCAGCAAGGAAAAAAATGCAATTAAACTGACAGACCGAACTACGAGCTGACGTCTATCTCAAGAGTAGGACAAGGAAATTAGTGTTTCTCCGAGGCCGCTACGTCGCCGGTATTCGAGGTACTCTTGGGGTTGTGCTTAGCAGGAGAGAGCGTCTTAGCATTATTGGTTTTACCCTCGAGTCTTTGGAGAGGGATTACCCGTAAGTGGGAAGGGTGAGAATGAGAAGAGAGAGAGTCTCGGCGAGAGCGCGCGGAAGAGAAGCTCTTCTCGGTTGCGCGTTTCCTACGCTTGACTGCAAGTCTGCTTCGCTTAAGTAATTAGACTGCCGGCTGTTCGTTACCTCAGTCATTCCTGAAGAGAAGAAAACTGCCACGGGTAGTATATATATACATACATATATATATATATATATATATATATATGTTAGTGCAACTAACCAACACCTCCGGTGTGCTGCGAGCGAGCTTATTAATTTACCGCGGATGGAAAAATTACTTGTCATGTGAACTTGAACGATCTTTAAACGTGCTTTTTACAATCCCGTCGTCATTCGCTCTAAAAAAGAAAATTTATGACAGACTGTTTGGGACATTTGCAATTACCCGCACCACACACGCACACACTCTCATAGAAAATATATTTATTTAACAAATGCAACTTAACTCGAGTGTGTTGCGATAACACACCCGAGAGAAATATTTTCTTTTTTTAAATATTGACGTATACGCGGTTACAAATAAAACTAGCAGCGCGCGTTGCGACCGAGTCTTGTGAGATATTTTATAGGCACCATCGAGCGTTCAACGAAGATGAATTTCTCGAGAGAGATTTTTATGACTACACATATATAGAAATCGAGCCGGCCCGCTCGCAGCCGGCTTGTGCGAGCCAATCAGAAACGGGCAACTAACGACTCACAAGCCTAAGCGACGAGCGTCGATGCTTGATCATGCGGAACAAACTGCTTTTCCGATAATATTACTTAAAGCATGTACTATGATCTTCGCTTTGAATGATTACGAGTTGTAAAACCATTTTCACTGCAAAATTCATACGTGCTGGGCGACCCTCGTCGTCGACAGTAATTTACCACCGTGCCACGGCATTCGATAATTATCATTTGCAATGCAACTTATACCGTGCGAGTCTGTAATTTCTGATCTCTCTCAGACCAATCGTTAAAGGAAGCCTAGTTCATAGACGGCGAACAGATCGTAATCAAGTAATTTCCTCTCTTCTGATGTATTTGTTGCTCTATTATAATCTGCTATGGTGTTTTTTGTATTTTTTTTTTTTTTTTTTAACAACTAATCGGATCCAGATCTAGGAGAATTCTTCGAGGAGAGGAAAGAAAGGTGTTTTGTCTGCCGTCTACTCGACGCTGCCACCAGTTTTTGCCACCCCCTGAGATTGCCGCTCGAGGCGCGAATCCCGCGACTTTCCCTTTTTCTCCTAGATCTGGCCAACTGATAATAAATCAAAAACTATAAATAGCACTCATGAAAAATTATAAATATTAAACTAAAATAAACACTGACGTAGTTAAATCTTGAATGTATGACCACAAAAATAAGAAAAATAATATTCTATATATATTATTACAAAACTCATTTCTCTTTTTCAAGATATTATTCGATCCTACGAACTTCAGCATTGCGCAATATGATCGATTGCTCGTAGTCATCTTAGGTTGAGGCATTCATAAAATGGTCGCAAAAAGCACGTCAATTTATGCACTTGTTCCGCTCGATGCGGTTTTATGGTTTCTCGCTTGGAAACGCGATTGGACGACACGTATGGCAGTGCCGATCGCCGGGCTCGAAATTTCCACGGGATATTCCACCGATCGGACCGAATGATAACGCCGCGGTGTTGATCGTTATGATGTGATTTATACGCAATTATAGCCGCCGGTGCTGCGTACATACGCACACGGGGTTCGCTTTCGTGCGGAATGGGGCGTTGCGCGGTGTTTATCTTGTAAATTATTAGCTTGCAGAAATCACGAAGGAGCTGAGAAGTAATCACGTCCGGAAAAACAAGTCGCATTTAAAATCGTACAATAGTATCTTTATATACGCGACTGGCGACATTTCGCGTCTCTTTACATCTGTGATGTAAAACACGCAAAACTCTACACTTTTTGAACAGTTTTACTTTTTGCTAATTACATTTTACAGAAACATTTATATTCCCGGATATGCATTCACTCCGTTTTCCGTGAATTATTTAAACTCGGAGAAAACTATTTGTATTTTTTTTCTGTTTCGAAATTTTCTCTGACGTGATTTAAATCACGCGCGTATTTACACGCGCGTAAGATATACGCGAAAAACGCAGCAGCAATAATAATGCGTTTGATTTACGATAAAGCCGTCACTACCAGGTTCGTCCAACGTCACGGCGATTCTCCGCAACACGATAAAACAGGAAGGGATCGCGAGACGGAAGGATTTACTCCGCGGGACGATCCTTCCAGTCGAACGTTTATTCCGTCGACGAACCTTCCGCGACCTCGACTCCTCCCAAGGAGGATAACTGGCTTGTTATAGAAGACACTCGCGTATAGAACCGGACTATCTTTCTCTCTCTTTCTTTTTCTCTTTTTCTCTAAACTCGAAGCGTAAACACGTGCCGAGAAAAATATTTAAGACAGCGCCTTGACAATAAAAGTTGCCGTAAAACTTGCGGGCCGATGGTTCATTAATTTCTCAGATTTATTGACGCGTAAACTTGTTGAATCAATGTTGCCGAGGATGCGCAGCAATTAGAAAATATTTTGTTCCTGAAACTCAGAACAAAATATATTGTTTGTGAAATCCGACTTTCGCTCGTGAATGATTTCACGCGCGTCGCAAATGTGAAAGACCAACCTTGTACGTTTTTCTTTCGGCGGACAAATATATGCATCTCATTTCAAACATTCTTATAGAATTTCACACCCAAATTAATGGGGTCTGACACTTTGTGTATTAATTTACTTTTTGACATGACGTTTGTGTGGATGGATATATCCATCGACGGTCATATTGACAGATATGAGTTAATGCTAGGATCGTCTCGTGTTTCAGGTCCGCGCACGAGGAGGGTGAAGAGGACGGACGCGCGCGGTGGCGGCACCCCCGAGGAGAAACGTCCCAGAACGGCATTTAGCGGCGAACAGCTAGCGAGATTGAAGCGGGAATTTGCTGAGAACCGATACCTGACGGAACGGCGAAGGCAGCAGCTTTCGAGGGATCTGGGTTTGAACGAGGCGCAAATCAAGATTTGGTTCCAAAACAAACGCGCGAAAATAAAAAAGGCCAGTGGCCAGAAAAATCCACTGGCGTTACAACTGATGGCGCAGGGACTCTACAATCACTCGACGGTACCGCTCACTAAGGAGGAGGAGGAACAGGCCGCGGAGCTCCAAGCGAAATGACGATTGTAAACTTGGAAGAGCACTCGGCTAAGTCTAGTTTATAATCGCGAGTCTTAAATTTCATATCTTGAACCCCAAAGATGCTATAAGATCAAATTTTATTTTTTCTTTCTCTTTCTTTTTTTTGTGTTTCTGTATATATACATATGTATAGGTATATATAAATTATTCTCTTTTTATTTTCTCTCTTCTCTATGTATATGGAATAATTTTCTCGAACAATTTATATATATACATATAATAATTACTTGTTTTATATATATATATATATATATATATATATATAATAATTATGATGTGTACATAAGAATTATTATTATATATATACATACATATACATAAACGTACATGTGGAGAATAATTTACATATATAAATATTTTAGTTTGATGATTTGCGATAAACAAATAAAAATCAAGAGAATCTGAAAAAAATCAGATTAGATAGTATACAAAAGCATTCTCAATTTGCTGTTGTAAAACATTCTTCTTCAATATGAGAGAAGAAGAATATTTTACGGAACCAATAGTTTTGCTGGGAAAACGTGAGACCCCGTCACTTATCTAACAGCTTGAATCGCAGATTTTTCAAAAACAAAGAGAATAAATCAACTAAAACGATATAAATTTTCATGCTTGAATAAAGAAAAAATGAATAAAAAAATTGGCCAAAACCCTCAATAAAAAGAGAGCTTGCCACAATCAACAATCATCTCTGTCACTTCTCTTCCTTAAATGAAAGACTGGAGTATTTATTTCGCTAGACGTATTAGTACAACTCGTTAAACGGCAATCGTGTGAATCAATCGAGAGTAATTCTTGTTTTGTAATTAGAGCTTCCGATCGAGCGCAACATTTAACGGATGTTGCTCGCCCTCGTTCGACATAACTGTGAGAGGGAAGTTAGTTACCGAGATGGAACACGCGAATGAGTTTTGTGGTTACCGTTTCTTACCATCGCTCCGAAAGTTTTGAAGGACGTTTTGTTCCTACACCGTAACACGTGAATTTGGGAAGATATTTATATTCTTTTTTTAAGAATATTATTATTGATAATATCTCAAGAATATTAAGATATTATATTATATATTGATAATATTATACTATAATACGTAATAGTAGTATTATTAAATATTCTTTCTGTCATTTCTGTGAAATTTGTGATTCAATTTGATACGAAAGCGAACTCACTCTGTTTTAATTAAAACGCAGCGCGATGGCAAGCGACGGTTAAATCGTCACGAAGCAGAGTTACAAGTGCCATTTTTTTGCAGTTTTTTTCTGGTAAGATTGTTTGCGTGAAAATTTTTTACACATTACTTCGTGAAAGGAGAGAGAGAGAGAGAGAGACCGTTCGGAAAAGGAAAGAAAAGAAAAGAGAAACTTGGATCTTTCGTTACGTTGTTGTAAAAATGTAAGATAGTATAAATTGCGACTTGAAAGAAAAAATCTTGAGTGATTGCGACGTGCAATAGAATATAACACATAGAAAAAAAAAATGAAATAAATAGAGACATGAGACCTTATGTATAGTTGTGTTGTATATGTAATCGAGACGAAACAAAAAATGTACATAACTTACCATATAGCGACGACATTGTCCCGATAGACTGTTTCAAAATGTAACTTAGTTATTTATTTACGTATAAATAAATAAATATATATATATATAAATATATTATATTATGAGACGCGTAGAGAAATCGAACGCATACAAAAATGATCACGCGACGCAACTGATACTTGTAAGATTATTTAAATTCGAATTAAATATTCCCATTATCAAACTAATGAGTATATAAATTTATTTTGTCATCGTCTATCTTCCCTGTTTTCTCCCAGTCACGTGAGTGTTTGCTCAGGTAACGTATAATCTGCAACAGCTGCGAAATCGAAAACTCGGCTATTAATGAATTTGCGTGTCATCTGCGGTACATGACACCGTCGATGATTACAGCACAGAGTAAATAAGCTCTATTGTGTCACCGAACTGAAAAAAGCGACCGTAAATTGCGTTTAAATAATATTTATCTTACGCGTTCACACGATACAAGCTTTTTACACAGAATTTGTCTACACGATCAGAAACAAAATACTAAAATTAAAATATTTACACGCAAAATTATTTTGTTCTACACAAAATAAACGTAAAAGTGTAATCGTCAGTCAAATGGAACTTTAAATGTTGTCAATTTTTGTCGGCACGGTATACGAGAAAGCGAGAAAGATGGTCGGGAAGATGAAAACGGGGGAGGCGGGTCAATTCGCGCATTCAGCATTTGGCGCATGCTTCCACCCCCGGCTCGTTTCAGGCAAAGCCCCCATGGGAAGCCCCTCCTGCCGACAAGATATCGATTGATTTACAGTCGAAAGGTGGCCATCGTTGATATCAAGCCAGCCACGCCTACGTTATACCAGCACGTGGCGTGTGTACGTTTACGCTGATCGTAAGTGGTGTCGGTTAACTCGCGTATCATGCTTCATTTAACCCTATCGCTGCGAACGCGTAACTTCAATCTCTTTTTGTACCTCTTTATTGTATCTTTCTCTTTCTCTTATTTATAAAAAATATAACATACAAACATTGAAATATTATATTGAATTTTTTTCCGACAAGAAAGATGTAATCGCGTAATACAATACAATACTTACTAATCGAAATTAGTATCAAATAAATTTTAAAATATATAAACGGACTAAAATTCTCTTCGCAGGTTCTAATTGAAAAATATTCCGTCACTGAAACAAAGTCACGAAAAAAAATCGAAGGTATTTGTGTGACATCGAAACTCAAACGTTGCTGTCAAAAAAAGGACGTTTGATGTAATAGGTAACATTAACGTACAAGTTACGGCAGAGTGGAAGAACTGACATGACGAATAATCGACGATAGTCTCTTTGGACGAGACTTCCGTTATACCCTTGTCTAGGAAAAAAAATGGCCCGTCTTAACATTGCGACGATTAGGTGTGTGTCTTGACTAAGTTAATGTTTTCTTAAGACGGGATATAAATTCTCAGCTATATTAACTCTCGGAAACAAAGTTGCTGAAGAGCCCAGAGTTCTTACGAATGACAAAATCTTACAAAAAAAGCAATTGTAATGTTACCAATATACAATATATAATAATAATAGCTTTGTGTCGAACATACAGTTACATCAAAGTTGAATATTAAAAATAATATCTTTCAATACTGAACTAGAAAACGTAACTCAAAAGGCAAAGCAACAACATCATCTGCTAATTTAAAGAGAGAGTTCTATCACTATCAATAACTAATACACACAATCTATACACATACGTATATATAACATATATATAGCTATCCGACTCATTCTGTTTCCCACCTTCATTGACATCAACGAAGACAAATGTTTCGTGTCGATGCCTCTTACATACCAGCACTTCTCCCGTCGTTCGGCGAATTCCACACAATCAGAAAAAAAAGCGCGCGATAAATAATTCATTTGAATACGATTACGTTGCCATTGATTTTCCACCGACGACGTGTGCGCTCGAATTTCATGATTAAATGCCGAAATCGGCCGGGTTTCGGTTCACGGGAAATATATGGAAATCCACGCCGGTCGGTGACTAATAATAGCCGAAGTACGACGACTGTTCGACCGATTCTCTTTCGGAGTCCTGGCCACCGCACGCGGCGCGGGGTCCGTCCAATACGTCCCTGTCAGATTAGATCGCGGTACTTGACAGACTTGCGCTTCTGTCTGTCGCGCGTGTTTTTTCCGATTGTGTCTTCGGGCCGGAGGTCAAACCATACCCAGATCCATAAAGACGATTATTTTTTTTTTTCCTACCGTTCTCTCTGCCTCTTTGTCCCGGAATCTTTACAAATGAGATACAACCGAAGAGAAAAGCGAATGCGTACAAGGGGGTACGCAGGCATTAACCCCAAGACAGACATCGACCCGTTCCGCGCATTCTCGAAGAGAACCCCGCGTGTGCATGTAATCCTTTGTGAACAAGAGGCCGCGCGGACTCAAATTATGCATCCGTCGGGTTGGGCTTCGTTTGTGATTCGTTCGATTGATCTCTTCCACACTATCCGTATAAACTCAGTGAGAGGATAATACAGTCAAAGAGATAAGAATCCGCGTGACACATTTGGCGCAACGTTACTTATTTCGAGCTTGAGATTAGACTATCACTCATTGATAAGTGATCTTCGCGTCGAACACCCGTTTCCTGAATTTATTTCTGTTGAAAGTGCTTTACCTTCTGGGAAAGGAACTCGTGCGCGATACGCGCGTCTTGCGCTTATAATCGCTTTTAAACGCATAACAATTTGTTATACTCTTCCATGTATTTTCGATGTACCGTATCAGCGGCGAAATATATGATGAAAACGTTCTCGCGCTATCTAACGATAATGAGAACGATCGTTCCCGGTAAAGTTCGTACGGTGTTCATTTTTTAACCCAGTTGTTACAGACCGATAAGAAAACGCCGGGATCGTTATCTAAATACCGCCTCGCTTCCTGTTGCTTGTGTACGAAAGTAGCCGGCCTTCTTAGAATTGATGAACGGGAAATTGAAGGCATTAACGGACTTATTTCTCTTCGCGAGAGTAGTGAACGAGTTTCATTGCTTCCCTGTTATTCAATAAGGCGACTGTGCAGAAGGTGCGATAAATATCTTCGAGAATATTATTAGAGATTAGCTAACCCCAATTATATCTTTAGCACACATAGAGAATGTTATTTTCAAAGAAAATAATTCAACTATATCCACGCGAGAAAGCTCGCCCATACATATATACATACATACGTAATCATCTCTCCTCACGTATTCTTCTAAATATTTTAACCCCAAATAATTGTATTGCAACAAAACTTCCACGCTCCTTGTTCGCGTGCTTATCGGCGAACGATTATGCCGATAATTTCCATTCGAACAGTGAGAACCGTGTATCTTGCATAGGACGGAACGTGGTGAAGTCTCTCGAATCGAGTCGACCGATCACTTCACTGCGAGCGCGCGCATACTGTAAGTGTACGCACGCTGATAAGGAGCGCGCGCTATCAATCGAAGTGACGCGCGTTCACCGCGCTCGCATTCCTCTCGACGCGTTCCTAACGTAGCACCGATAATAATCCGAAGCGGTCAGCCCGTACCGATCGTATCTCCGCGGTGCGATTCTTT